AGTATGCCATTGCCATACAAAGAAAATCGGACGAGTGAATAATGTAAACAATATCTGGGGCCAGTATGGGAGGGACGCATGGTGAATATGTTGTTGTATGAAAATGACCCTTTTCTTAGAAATTTATTTCCAATATTAGGGTGCGTCTTCCAAGCCACCGCGTCTTGTAACCCGAAAAATACGGTAATAGATGTTAACCTAACGGAATACCGCATTAGTTAATAGGGGAGATCAGGATGCGTGATCAGTAGATGAATTTTCATGTTTTACATTATTGAATAAATATAGTTTAGATTAAATCTTTAAAATCTGTGACTGATAAATAAATTCACTTTTACATTATTGAAAAGATGTGGTTCAATACATCGACCTTGCAGTCCCTTACTTATTAACTAAATTCATTTAACGCAAGTGTTATTAGTGCCGTGAAATGACATATTACCATGACAACTGAATATCTCATTACTAAGAGGGAACAGGGCGGGGATAAATATATGAAATCACAATGTATTTTACTGAAATATACACCCGAGTATAGTGTGAGTGTTATTATCATTTTTACGCGAAAAATAGGGGCGTACTATACGCAGGTAATTCTTTTGAAGAGGTTAAAAATCATGCATTTTCGGTGACCGGTGGCACTATACATAAGTATTTTTTTCTGGAGGGGTTAAAATTCATGCGTTTTCGGTGACTTTAACCTACGTGGTAGGGGTATTTTCCCAGGGTACCTTAACAGTACAAGAAAAAATGAAAACCATTTATTTGCTATATGTCTAGGATAATGCCTTGCACTACAATAGTTGACTACGGTAGGCTCGCTAGTATTGTTCAGAGCATGATACACGGGCTGTATGAAAAAAAAAATGTGGGGTCGCGCTATAAAAGAAGTCGACTTATACACGAGTGTACAGGAATGAGAAATTTTACGTTTCCTAAAAGCCATGAATAGGCTACGCTCTAAAGCCGGACTTTTTCCAACTGACAGACTTGCAGTTACTGATGGAAGGACATGCCTTGCTGGAGCGGTTATTGGCATGCTTCCGACAGAAGTGCAGTCTGCTACCAAATAAAAACGAACAAGACGTTTAGCCAGGGGTTTTCCCCAGCCACTTCTCGGTTTAAAATTTAGAAATTTGCCCAGTGTGAATTCGAAATCTGGTTAAAAAAATAAACACGCACGTCTTAGTTCATCTCATTTTACAGTCTTGCCATTACATGCAGTTCAGTAGGTAATAACATTGCTTCATTGGAAACAAAACTTGCTTGCAAGGGAAGAGCAGTAAAGAAATAAAAAAAATGACACCATTGGTCCGCTGGTAGAAAAAAAAAATAAAAGAAATTAATGGGTGATAAATTTAGTGTCTCAGCATTCCTTAGACCTTCGTCTAACCACAATATTTATCAGAATCAAAAATAAAATTACTGACTATTTAAAAATCAGTCGATGTCTCTGAGATGAGCTATTATGATTGGTTAATTTGCAGTTTATCACCTGCGCTCTGCATTAAAAATTTCCAGAATACATTTAGGTGTAATTGTAAATTCTTCATTCGAATCTGGCTTGGTAAATTTGATAAAAGTAAAAGTTCGGATTCATTCGCGTCGCGACAGCCATTACTGGTGTTGTTTGCACACATTCACTGCGGAATAGCTATGACTGGAACATTCACTTGATTATTGAGCACGCAATATAGTTCTCTAGCGCAGTAATTGAGACAAGTTGAGACAAGTAAGATCATTAAACAAGGCCGTTAACTACGTTCTGTTCTGCGCTTAGCTTTCCGCAGCGAATGTGTGCAAACAACGCCAGTAATGGCTGCCGCCAACGACGCGAATGAATCCAAACTTTTACTGTCGATAACTCCAGAACGGTAGATTTTATCAAATTTTTTTCAAGCCAGATTTGAATGAATTATGTACAATTACTGATCTTGTTCTTTTCCCCAAATCTGGATTTTCTTAATTTTTTTATAATGATTTGTTTAAAGTAAACTTTTTCGAAAAAGATTAAATAATTTTACTTTTTGACCCTGGCATTATTTCGGAGGCAATTTAACAATCATTGGTAAAATATAATTATGTCTTTTCTTTTATCAATTCATCTCCAAGCAAGGCGATAATGCCACTAAGACGCAAAGGTTTACTGGGAGTGAAAGAGAATGATAAAAGTTTAAAAGGAAAAGGAAACTAAACCCGAAACAGGGAAGAAGAGATAAACCTCTACTCCTGTTCAAAAGAAGAGAGAGAAGTCTGAACCGGGCGACAGACCTATCTACACCTATTGAGGAAAAATAAAAATATATAGTAAATAACATTTCAGAGTGTAAGCGAAGATGTTAGAAGTATAGAATTCAAGTAGACTTTAGAAGGAATCGGAAACCCAATCCTAAACAGGAAATAAGGGATAAACCTCTTCTCCTGTTCAAAATATCGGGAAGGAGTCTGAACCAGACGACAGACGAACCTATATAGTTCAATAGTAAATAAAAGTTTAGGTGGAGATGTTAGATGGGACCAGAAACCCGATACTAAACAGGAAAAGAGGAATAAAAATCTCCTGTTCATAAGATAGGGAGAAGTGAAATACATATTTAATCCAAATAAGGGGGAAAAATATCAGTAGTATGGAATTATCGATGGCGTAAGCGCAGTTTGAAAATTGACGTTTATAAAAAAAAAAATACAGCCAATATTTTAAGAATTCAGAGGTTGATTTTAATACTAAAAAATAAATGAAAAGCAAATCAGTATTTTTCGATTCTAATCAATATTGTGGATAGAGGAGGTTCTGGTGGATGCTAATCTACAACAAATTATTTTCCAGAAATTTTTTTTTTTTTTTTTTTTTGAGAGGACCAGTTAATTTTTTATTGTGCCGAAAAATATTACGGAAGAACAAAAGGATGAAAAATATAAGTTTTGAAACTGAAGAACGGAGAATTTCAGGAACGAGCCATGCCATAAACCTGTGCCCAAAGATAGACGATAATACAGAAGAAATGGTAAGAAAGTATTCAATAAATTCTTCAGAGCATCGATTGATTTGGGATTTTATATGAGGAGGAGGAGGGAGAGTTAGATTTTAATTTTCTTACAGACATATACACGAAGAGTTTTCAGCCTGACCTACTTCCTTAAATTATGGCGATTTATTATAGAAATATTCATTTTGGAATGGGCACGTGGCCGGGTGGTTAGAATGTTCGATTTCTGACCATGAGACCCGAGTTCTAATCTTACCATGGTCGATCTGTTAGGAAGGAAACTTCCTGATGTTATCAAACTGGTCGATTTCAGCGTGCGACACCTTTGGAAAGTGCCTGAAAACCATACCACGGGTTGACCCAAGCCTAGTGAGTGAAATTGGTAAGACGGAACGCATGGTGGCCGTCGAAAGCTGTGCTAGCACGAAGTCACATGTCATCGTGGCCGAGCGTGCTGGCTTTGATCAAACTGTTGATTACGCTAGATAACACGTTCTTTCCCAAAAAGTTCTGCTCAGAATAGATGCAGTATAGATCATAGGTGAACTCTGTTGGTGTTGAACAAACGCAAAAATGCGTCTGAGCAAGCGTCTGCAATAGGGATTGGCTAGCCGCCCTATTAGACGGGTATCGTCGAATGCAAGTGGTCAGTTATTGGGAAGTGGCGGCTCAGAGGGGAATACAATTGAAAACGTTTCGTCATCCGACTTCATCAAGGCAAGTGCTGATTAATAAAAGTGAAATGTTGTATGGTTTTGCGAAATTCAAAAATTTAAAAGACGCTCCTACGAAAGTCTCTTTTTGGATATTGTTTTTCTGTTTTCCGATTGTCTATTTTATACATTATGTCTTCTCTACAGATATATTCTGAGAACTTTCATATATATATATATATATATATATATGTGTGTGTGTGTGTGTGTGTGTGTGTGTCTCATTGAATAATTCAGAAAAGTTTTGTCTACTTATTTTCAATAGGATCCTCTCATAGTCACGGATACACTCTTAAATACTCGAAATAAGTGAATATGTATCAACAGGGTAATTTTCTCACTTTCTTTAATAAGGATACTAAGAAGCTTGTTCGTGAATATGAGAGGATTCTATTGAAAATAAGTAGACAAAACTTGTCTAAATTATTCAATGAGCCATATCTTAATACATACATACATACACATATATATATATATATATATATATATATATATATATATATATATATATATATATATTTTATGCATTTTATATTATTCTTTTTATAGATACAAATATTTAAGTAATGTTTTGTTTATATTAAATAGTATTAATATTTACCGGCCTGAATATCCGAGAAATTTTCATAGAAAATATACGTCCTTTTCGGACATTCAGGTCGGTAAATTTTGTTAATACTGTTTATTATAAACAGACATTTACTTAAATATTTTATCTATAAAAAGAATGTATAAACATAAAATATTTTAAAATAATTGTCGGACTTTGTCCATTTAATAATATATATATATATATATATATATATATATATATATATATATATATATATATAGCATGCTGCCAAAATATAGGCAATTTAAATTATATATAGGAACATATAGGAAACGTTTACAATTTAACATGTTTGGTTTTATTAAAGCTCCACCAGAGAATGAGATATGGTTAATTCTCTGAAGATGTAATAAATCCCACCAAACGGGAAAATGTAAGAACGCTGAAAACAACTAAATAAAACATTAATCAAATTTTCCTTGCCCTTCATATTTACCGAAATATATATATATATATATATATATATATATATATGTCAAAGTTATAGGAAATTTATCTATTTTTTGTTGATTTTCTTTTGCCCGACTCTTTCTAAAAAAATATGTTAATCGTCTATCTTATTGACTACAGGTCCTTTTTTGATTCACGGTATACTCAGAATTTTTTTTTTCTATTTATTGAGCGGTATGAGGGTAAAGGTTTTCGGGTTAGTCAACATTTGCGTTCGAACTGAAACCAGCACCTTACCTGACTTGTCCACGTCAGTTGAATTTGACTCACAGTCGTCGAAGCCTACAAGAAAGTTCAAATTGATCAACAAAAGGAACATTGTACTTGTGAGGATGGCGCTGATATAAAAAGCAGGACTACTTTTAAAATCATGTCAGTAGCTATCCAAACTATCCCATTTCAGAGACGCAGACGTTAATAGAACGAGCTGTCTTCTTCGTCGTCTTTTTCCTTAAATTCTTTTTCTCTTCTTTTCTTCTTCTTCTTCTCTTACCTTACATTCTTTTTTGTGTTCGTTTCTTCTTCTTCATCTCGCTTCTCCTTATATTCTTTTTCTTTCCTCTTCTTTTTCATCTTATTACTATTGTGGTGTCCTGCCTCTAAAGAGTCTATGTTAGACTTTTCCGCCTACTATAAAATTAATAGGAGAGAAGGTTTCGAGGAACAGTGAATAGATTGTTACTATCAAACTCTCCGCCTTGGCGGAAAGAAACCCGGACGAAACTTCGCCCTTCGGCAAAGCTTCGCCGTGGGAGGTAGACAGACCCTGAACCGGTTTATATGTGTTCTAAGGGAATATTTTTGGCAGAGTTTACGGGCTCGGAGTACCCACGGTAAACTCGGCCTTGTGCCACATATATCCCTCGTGGGGGAGCTGTTAAATATTAAATATTGAATAAATATTCATCTGTCGAACTCTCTGCCTTGAACGGAGAGGAACCTGGACGAAACTTTGCCCTTTGTCAAAGCTTCGACCGGGGAGGTAGACAGGCCCTGAACCCGTTTATACGGGTTCTAAGGGAATATTTTTGGCCGAGCTTACGGGCTCGGAGTACCCATGGTAAACTCGGCCTTGTGACACATACATCCCTCGTGGGGGTAGGGGCTGTTAAATTTAACAGTCGAGTAGATTTGCTCCAGCTATGCTGGTCAAACTCTCTGCCTTCGGGCAGAGAGAATTCCCAGACGAGGCTATGACGAACGGCAGAGTCTCGTCTCGTCTCGGGAAACAGCTACCGGACCCCTTTTTATACGGGGAACTTTTGGCCGAGTCTACGGGCTCGGATTGCCCCACATTAAACTCGGCCTTGTGCCACATCCTACCTCGTGGGGAGGCTGGTAAATATAACAGTGAATAGATTGAGTGCTAGTTCATTCGATAGACTCTCACTAGTCTTGTAATACTCTTCTGGTGTACTTCCTGTTTAATATACGATATATCTGCAAATCAGGTTTTTGTTATTTAACCATTTACTTGGTCTCAACAATTACTCTAATTATTATTATTAAGTTGCAAATTAGAACGGATATTTCTTTATTCTTCAACCTGGAATATTTTAGCAATATTTCTTTAACAAGAACCATGTTACGATACCCAGCTTTTTGTTGTTAGAGTAACAAACAAATACCCATAAATAGACGTTGGATCGTCGTAATACAGACAGTCTTTATTCTTTGAAGCAGTCGCCATCCGCTTTCTCAATATTGACTAGATCCAAGTTATAAAAAAAATTGAATTCATAAATGTATATTTTTACTCGAAAGACGGTATTTCCGATTGGCAAACACAGGTAAACTGAGAATAAAACGGAGAAAAAACGATTTAAAAATGATTTTTCATTTTATTTTTGTAATTAAAAAGCAAAAAAAAAATGGTGAGAATATAGCTCGGAATTCAGCTGATCTCTGTAGAATGAATTCGAGACAGAATTCGTTTTTGGCGTTCGTATTTAAAAGGCGAGATACAAGAGTTTCTTGGCTTCAGAATTGATTTGAAAACACGGAAATAGAACATTATGTTCTCGAAATGTATGCGACGGCTCTATGTATTAAATAAACGACGAATCAGACGTTCTGCAACGGCAAAAGCCACAGAGCAGCATTTCTCGAACGGTGTGCCCATGCGCAATAATGCACCCTGAAAGGTAGCCAGGTGTGACCCAAGTTAACGGAAGAGTAATTTAGGAATTATTTTTATATTTAAAAAAAAAATCTTTATTTTATAAAAATAGCTAAAGAAACCAAGCAAATGGCTTTCATGTTTAAACGGAAAGAATATATTGAATCCATTGCCAGGTCAGCTGCTAAGAAAGTTGGTTTACTGCGTCGTTTGGGACAATTTTTTCTCTCCAGAATCCATCTTACATATCTATAAGTCTACCATTCGTCCATGCTTAGAATATTGCTGCCACATATGGTCCGGTGCTTCTGCTATTTACCTTGAGCTCCTTGATAAGATCCAAAGAAGAATCAGCAATATTATTGGTCCTGATCTATAAACCTACCATTCGTTCATGCTTAGAATATTGCTGCCACATATGGTCCGGTGCTCCTGCTATTTACATTGAGCTCATTAATAAGATCCAAAGAAGAATCAGCAATAATTATTGGTCCTGGTCTGGCAGCTCAGCTACAGTCACTATCTCACCTTTAGGTTGCCTCTCTGTACCTTTTCTATAAATTATTTCATGGTAATTGTTCGGATCTGCTCTTCGCTATGGAAGCTATACTTTTTTAAAAAATTTAAGCGCAGTACTAGACTGGTGTCAAGATCTCATCAGTTTAATACTGAGCAGGTTAGATGTAGCCGTAAATTCTATGCTAATACTTTCTTTTCTCGCACTTCTCGCTTGTGGAACTGTCTTTTCAGCCAACTTTAGCCTGCAAAAATTTAAATGCAATGCCAATCGCTATCTACTGTCTTCCTGAGTATTATTTGCTCTTCCCGCTTATCATCAATGTTTCCGTTCCTAATTCCCCCCCCCCCGTTACCCGTGCTTTAGTCGGTTAACTGACTTCTATTGGTTGATACCGACTTTAGTTGGTTAACTGACTGGTTGATACCGATTAAAAAAAAATGTCATGTCTTTGTTATTTGATATTTTAAACTGGATGCTAAATTCCTTAATCTTTCAGAAGCAGTGGATAATCCTTTCTCTTTAGTCTGCCTCAGGGGATTTAAATCAGTCATTAAGAGCCTCTCTGAAAACAAAATGAAATATCAGATTCTTCCCTTTAAATGAAAACTGTACCGCTAATCCTCTTTGGGAATTATATAAATAGGAGCGGACAAATATGAGGATCAAATTCCTGGACGCCCTAAAATACGTGGGTTGCAACAAAATTATACCCCCATGTGTACTAGATTTCTCACCATGCAGCAGCCACAAAGACATTTTGGCTTTCTTCTGCTGAATTGCATGGCACTTAAGAATTTTGTTGTCTCTTGAAGTCTCTGCTTGAGAGTTGGGGTCAACACGTACTACTGGAAGCAAGGACAAAACACAGTAATATTATAATGGAATCAACGCGCTCGGAATCACCGAACCTTTGGATAATTATTACGCCGGATATAAAAAAAAGGAAGAAAGAAAGGAAATGTTTAAAATTCCTTACGTTTTGCCAAGTGTTTCTCATTGTCTTCTACTGAGATCGTACTGTTGACGTCGTCAGGTGTCTCTCCGTTTAACGGTGTTTGAGCAGTGCTAAGTTTATGACAAACTTCGAAAGCCTGACCAATGGTCCGGACAATACGCATGGCTTGGCTCTGAAAATAAACAATAATAATAATAATAATAATAATAACCGGTAAAAAGGAATATACTCAGAGACATAACAAGGTAGCGACATATGTACACTGGAAGATATGCAAGTAACACAAAATCGAAACAACTGAGAGATGGTATGACCAACCAGACATAGTTACCCAAAATAACGATGTAACTATCCTCAGGGATATGCCAATTCAAACTGGCAGGGAAATAAAAGCCAACAGTCCTGATATTATCATTAAAGACAAGAAATTCAGGAAGTGTATGCTTATTGACATAGCAGTTTTATCTGAGAGAAACAGCGACATGAAAATTATCGATAAATTGCCTAAATACAAGGACCTGAGATCGAGATTAACAGGATGTGGGAAATGAAGACTGAGACCGTACCAATAGTAATCGGAGCCCTGGGCCTCATGAGAAAAGGAATTGACAATTTTAATAACAGTGTCCCAGGTAACATCAACATACAAGTTACCCAGAAAATCGCCCTACTAGGAACATCACATATACTAAGAAAAGTGCTACCAGTTAAATGACAATTCTTCTATAGGGCCTAAGAAGCATAGTTTGGACACGTCTCTACACGATACAAAGCAGGAAACATTACACACAAATAATAATAATAATAATAATCTCAAAAATGTGGTACATGGGAACATCAACAATCCCTGTTGTAGTTGGAGCCCTAGGATTGGTTGGAAATGATACCAGTAGACTAAATGAAGGGGTTCTTGGAAGCCCATGCCTCAAGGAGATACAAAAAATTGTTCTGACAAGTACAGCCCACACTTTACGAAGGGCTTTATCTATGTAATTTTTTTTTTGTCTGTGGAAAGTGTCACGATGCCATTTCTAACCTTAGGTCTTTGGGCGGGACCCGGAAAGAAATGTGTAAACGCCAGAAATCAAAGAAAATAAAAACAACAACGACAACAAGAACAATAATAATAATAATAATAATAATAATAGAATGTAGCATGTCAAGACGACAGCATCACCTAGGGATTTGTTATTTGTCTCTTGAAGTCTCTGGTAGAGACTGGGGTGGTGGTAGCTCTTATTTCATAAAGCAAAAGCCAGTCACAACAAAAACAAAATAATCATCATCATCACCATCAACAAGAACAACAACAACAATAATAAAATGTGCTATCTCAAGACAGCATTATCTATTGTTATTAGGACTTTCTCATTTGTCTCTTGATGTCTCTGGTTGAGACTTGGGGGCCAACCCTTATTGCACAAAGCAAAAACCAACGACATCATCATCATCATCATCATCATCATCAATAATAATAATAATAATAATAATAATAATAATAATGATGCAACCGACCAGATACAGAAACAATGACAATACTTTGACTGTAACAAACAATCTGATGAAGACAAACTCCTTACTCATCAGTAGCTACGCCGTGCAGGGTTAGAAGCTGAAATCGAAGATTTTATTTTTGCTGCACAGGACTAATTCTTGATAAGTAGAAATTATCAAGCACACATACTGAACAACTGTGTTAGCCCAAAATTCGGTGAGTAATATCCAGAAACAATTGGTCATCTTATATCAAGTTGCGGGGTATTGGCACCCACTGAATATAAAACACGTCATGACAGAGTGGGCCAATATCTGCACTGGAAAATTTGCAAGTATTACGGGAAGGAAATCTGCAAGAAATTGGTATGAACACCATCCAGAACCGGTTACGCAGATAGGACGTGTAACAATTTTATGGAACTTTACAATATGCACAGAAAAAGCAATCAAAACTAATTGCCCAGAGATCGTTATCAGAGACCGCAAACAAAAAAAAAATGCCTCCTTATTGAGCTGGCAGTCCCTGCAGACTGCAATGTATCTTTGAAGATCTTTATAAAGCTATCAAAATACAAGGCCCTTGGAATTGAAATCTAAAAAATGTGGCACATAATTCAATTGAAATTCAACAATTACAGTTGGCGGTGGAGCCCTCATATATCACGCATGGTCCATAACTGACTGTCTATACAGAGGTCATTTTCTTTGAGGAGTTTTAAAATCAGCAATTTTCAGTTACCGGTTGCACTATACACAGGTAATTTTTGTAATGGAGGCTTTAAAATAGAGAAATCAAGTGTCGCACTGTGCATAAATTCGGCTTATATATGAGTACATTCGTCTACATTTGGCATTTCTTCTGTTCTTAAAAATAAATGGTGCCAAAAATTGAAGATGTCAAAACAAGCTCAGTTTCAACAGTAATTGGCGGTAAAAAAAAACTGTTTATCGGAAAAAAAAACTCTTGTCATTGTAATTACTAGAAAAGCACCTAATTCGATAGAAGAAGAAGAAATAGAGGAAGAAAAAGAAGAAAAAGAAGTTGAAGTAGAAGAAGAAGAAGTAGAAGAAGAAGTAGAGGAAGAAAAAGAAGAAAAAGAAGTTGACGTAGAAGAAGAAGAAGAAGTAGAAGAAGAATGCGTAGAAGTAAATTAGAAGAAGAAGAAGAGATGAAGAAGAAGTAGAAGAAGAAGTAAAAGAAGAAGAAGTAGAGGAAGAAAAAGAAGAAAAAGAAGTTGACGTAGAAGAAGAAGAAGAAGTAGAAGAAGGCGTAGAAGTAAATTAGAAGAAGAAGAAGAGATGAAGAAGAAGTAGAAGAAGAAGTAAAAGAAGAAGTAGAGGAAGAAAAAGAAGAAAAAGAAGTTGAAGAAGAAGAAGAAGAAGAAGAAGAAGAAGAAGAAGAAGAAGAAGAAGAAGAAGAAGAAGAAGTAGAAGAAGTAGAAGTAGTCGAAGAAGAAGAAGAAGAAGAAGTAGAAGAAGAAGAAGAAGTAGAAGAAGAAGAAAAAGAAGAAGAAGAAGTAGAAGAAGAAGGCGTAGAAGTAAATTAGAAGAAGAAGAAGCGATGAAGAAGAAGTAGAGGAAGAAAAAGAAGAAGCAGCATAAGGAGCAGAAGGAGAAGTAGAAGTAGTAGAAGAAGAAGAAGTAGAAGAAAAAAAGAGAAAAGGAATATAAATGGAAAGCAAGATGAAGGAGGAGAAGAAGAAGAAAGAGGAAAAGATTATAATAAAACAGAAGAAATAATAGAGGAGACAAAATAAGAGAGAGAGAAAAAAAAGAAAATAAGAAAGAGGAAAAGAACAATAATTTCAAAGATGGCGATGGAGAAGATAACGAAAAATATGAAGACTGAAAAAGAAAAATTAAGAGAAGAAGGAAGAGAAGAAGAAAAAGAAGAAGAAAAAGAAGGAAGAGAAGAAGAAAAAGAAGGAAGAGAAGAAGAAAAAGAAGAAGAAGAAAAAGAAGGAAGAGAAGAAGAAAAAGAAGAAGACAAAGAAGGAAGAGAAGAAGAAAAAGAAGAAGAAAAAGAAGGAAGAGAAGAAGAAAAAGAAGAAGGCAAAGAAGGAAGAGAAGAAGAAAAAGAAGAAGAAAAAGAAGGAAGAGAAGAAGAAAAAGAAGAAGAAAAAGAAGGAAGAGAAGAAGAAAAAGAAGAAGACAAAGAAGGAAGAGAAGAAGAAAAAGAAGAAGAAAAAGAAGGAAGAGGAGAAAGACGATTGAGATTTGAAATAGTTTCCTCAATTAATTGATACGATAGAATTAAGATCATTTTTTTTTGGCGAAATCACAAAACTGTTGATGCGTATCAGTCGCTGTTTTTCTTAGAAAAGCAATTAAACACATTTATAAAGATGGTCTGATTTTAAAGATAAGCAAAATTATTCGCACGGTATAAATATGTTGTCATGAATAAGTAAAATATAAGTAAAATATAAGTAAAATATAAGAAATACGACAGAAAATAAAATTCACACATTTCAGGTGCGTAGATTTTTGTTTTTAATGATGATCAAAGCGATAGGAAATGATTTTCTGATAAAGCCATTATATTTATTTTTAAGGGTGCAGATATATGATGTATAGATCCATCACAACCTGTTTATATCTGTATTAAAAAAAATCTCTGCAGATTTCTTGTGTCCTCCCATCTATCTATCTATCTATCTATCTATCTATCTATCTATCTATCTCAGTTTGTACATATCAATCTCTCTCAGTTCATATCTATCTATCTATCTATCTATCTATCTATCTATCTATCTATCTATCTAAGTTTGTACATATCGATCTCTCTCTGCACATATCTATCTATCTATCTATCTATCTATCTATCTATCTATCTCAGTTTGTACATATCAATCTCTCTCAGTTCATATCTATCTATCTATCTATCTATCTATCTATCTATCTATCTATCTATCTATCTATCTATCCTGGTTTGTACATATCAATCTCTCTCAGTTCATATCTATTCATCATTCATCTATCTATTCATCTATCTATCTATCTATCTATCTATCTATCTATCTAAGTTTGTACATATCGATCTCTCTCAGTTCATATCTATCTATCTATCTATCTATCTATCTATCTATCTATCTCAGTTTGTTCATATCAATCTCTTTCTGTTCATTATCTATCTATCTATCTATCTATCTATCTATCTATCTATCTATCTATCTATCTATCTGGTACATAAAAAATAATCAATTTTCGTATCGAAACGTAAACAAGGCAATTTTCTAAAGCGTCATGGATACCATTATTTATTAATCCGACAGATTTTATCACTTTAAATGTTATTTTTACTGGATACTCGTATTTGAGTTGAAGCTCAGTTTATTTATTAAACGGTATATTTATTTAGACCTCAGTCTATCTATCTATCTATCTATCTATCTATCTATCTATCTATCTATCTATCTATCTATCTATCTATCTATCTATGTCAGTGGTAACACATCTATCTATCTATCCGAGTTTTCTTAATATTTGTTTGTATATCTCATTTTGCTACTAATGTATTCTCATCTACGTAAACGACTAATATTACTTGTAGCACGAGAAATGAGAAGAACTGTTACTACACTTAGATCATATCCCGGTGACCTTGGAGTGAAAAAACCCCCCCCAAAAATAAACCGTAACTCGAGTAGCACTGGCTGCTCGCTCAATGTACATCGAGGGTTCTCGTATAAGGAAACGGCTAATATTACCATTATCATTAGAGATGAGAAGAAAAGATACTACACTTTGATCCCAGCTTGGCTGCCAAGAAATGACGAACCGATTAACGAGTAGTACTGGTTGCTCGGTCAGTGAATGCCGAATGTTTCCTTATAAGGAAACAGCTAATATTTTCTTACCATCTATCGATATATAAAATTCAGTGAGTTTAGTTAGTCCGTCTATCAGGCCCTCTAAAATAGCCATATATTGAGCGATCGAAACCAAATTTTGGGGAGATGTGTAAACAAATAAGTGGTTACTAGTTACAAAGTACAAAACTGGCTTTACTTGGATGCGTAGCTTAGTACAATAAATTAAAAAAAAAAATTGGGGGTGGGGAATTAAAAGTTTTATTATTTAATATATAAAATACTCCCACTATTTAAAAAAAAACGATTTAACGATTAAAATAAGAAATACTGATTTAATAAAAATGCAATATTGTTTATTGCCTATCTTTTCTTTAAGTTTTTATATACAAGAATCCAGTTTCCAGTTCGACCTGCGTTTGCTAGAACTATAAACAAATCACCAGGCGAAACGCTTCAAAATGTTGGAATTTGGCTCCAGAAAGAAATATTTACGCATGACCAATTGTATGTTGCATGTTCAAGAGTAAGAACTTATTCTTCGCTGTTGAAAAGGAAAAGGGAAGAAAAGAAATTTTCTTAAAAATATTGTTCACCATGAAATCTTATAAAATTAAATTAAATTAAAAGAAATTATTAAACCACGAAGTAGGGTTTTTGTCAAAGTATTTTTTCCAAACAAATCAGCTTATTCAAATTTCATCGATTGATTTGCAGAATTGAACGACAGATGTTACAAAAAGATTCTAATTCTTTAAAAAGTCAAACCAGAATGAAACTTAATTTTTAATTTGTTTAACGATTTTTCTTTCTCTAAAATGAGTATAAAATGTGTTTATATCAACATGCAGAAATAGTGGCAAGTTGTATGTTGTCTGCTCAAGAGTAAGAAATTTATTATTTGCTGTTTAAAAAGAAAGGGGGAAAAAGAAATGCTCTTAACATATATTATTTACCAATAATTCCTATAAAATTAAACTGAATTATAGAAATTATTAAACGACGAAGTGGGGTTGTTGTCAAAGTATTTTCTTCAAACAAATTAGCTTATTCAAATTTCGTCGACTGGTTTGGTTTGATTTGGTTTGGTTTCTTTTACGGCATACCAATCTCAATGGGTCATTTAATGCCAACATTTTTTTTTCTTGGTAATATTTTTTTTTTGTCAAAAATCTATTTCTGTTAATATTTTTTTCCTCAAAAACGTATAACTGGTAATATTTTTTCAAAAACGTTTAGCTGGTAATATCATTTTTTCAAAAACGTATAACTGGTAATATTATTTTTTCAAAAACGTATAGCTGGTAATATTATTTTTTCAAAAACGTATAGCTCGTAATATTATTTTTTCAAAAACGTATAACTGGTAATATTATTTTTTCAAAAACGTATTGCTGGTAATATTATTTTTTCAAAAACGTATAACTAGTAATATTATTTTTTCAAAAACGTACAGCTGGCAACATTATTTTTTCAAAAACGTATTATCAGATGACTTGTTATTGAACGTAGTTTATCGTCCTACCCAGGATGCGAATGTAGTTTATCGTCATACCCAGGAGGCGGGTGTAGTTTATCGTCTTACCCAGGAGGCGAATGTAGTTTATCGTCTTACCCAGGAGGCGAATGTAGTTTATCGTCCTACCCAGGATGCGAATGTAGTTTATCGTCATACCCAGGAGGCGGGTGTAGTTTATCGTCATACCCAGGACGCGGATGTAGTTTATCGTCTTACCCAGGACGCGAATGTAGTTTATCGTCATACCCAGGAGGCGGGTGTAGTTTATCGTCTTACCCAGGACGCGAATGTAGTTTATCGTCTTACCCAGGACGCGAATGTAGTTTATCGTCATACCCAGGAGGCGGATGTAGTTTATCGTCATACCCAGAATGCTCGACTGATTTGCGAAATTGAACGAAACGGAGAGTTTGTAAATCTCGACTAAAAATGTTAGCGATATCTTCAACAATACTAAATACTGGATGAGAATTGTAGTTGTTTCCAACGCTAGCCTATGTGGTCTAATGAAAGATCGTCTTCTTTGAGATGTTGCCCAACTTGTTTACTTTTCCTGCAATGTCTAATAAGTCTTATTTTATCTTTTTACAGTTTCTGTGCATAAACTTTGGTTGCCATATTTTCATTAGATATGTGCTGTTTCCAGCAGACATTAACTCTTACTAGTTTGTGTTATGTTCAGTATTTTCTGAATATGAAACTAAAAAAGAAATCTATTCACCATTGAATAACATCCTTTTTAAGTCACTAGAGGAAGAATTTTTACGTCACCAAATGAGTCTACTACATAGAGATAGACGAATTATCGCGGACTCTTTAATGATTGACATAACAAATATTTATTTAATAAAAATGCAATATTGCTTTCTTGCATATCTTCTCTTTAAGTTTTTATATATACAAGAAAGCAGTTTCCAGTTTTCTCTGCGTTTGCGAGAACTATAAACAAATTACAATGCCAAATGCTTCAAAGAGTTGAAATTTGGCTCCAGAAATAAATATTTACGCATTGCCAGTTGTATGTGGCATGCTCAAGAGTAAGAAATCCTAACAATTTATTCTTCACTGTTTAAAAAGAAAAAGGAAGAAAAAAAGAAATGTTCTTAAAAAATATTGTTCACCATGAATTCCTATAAAATTAAATTGAATCAAAGAAATTATTAAACCACGAAGTAGAGTTTTTGTCAAAGTATTTTTCCAAACAAATCAGGTTATTCAAATTTCGTCGATTGGTTTGCGAAATTGAACAAAACGTAGAGTTTGTAAATCGTTGTTTCTAACGCTAGCCTATGTGATCTGATGAAAGATCGTCTTCTTTGAGATGTTGCCCAACCGGTTTACTTTTCCTGCAATGTCTAATAAATCTCACTTGCCTTTCATAGTTTGTCTGCATAAACTTTGGTTGCCATATTTTCATTAGATATATGCTGTTTCCAACAGATTATTAACTCTTACTAGTTTGTGTTATGTTTTATATTTCCTGAAAAAAACTAAAAAAGAAATCTACTTACCATTGAATAACATGTTTTCTAAGTCACTAGGAGAATGATTTTTACGTCACCAAAAGAGTCTACTACATAGAGATAGACGAATTATCACAGACTTTACTACTGACGTACAGTAACTTCCTTATAAAAAATAAAGCGTTTATCCCCCATAAATACTCTGAAGTTGAAACAAAAGAAAAAAAAAGAAAAGCGCCATTTTCTTTCTTTCTTCTACTTTGCTTAATCCACAATACATCCCTTTCATTACTTAATCTGACTCTAGATCATGAGTCTAAGATCGTAGTGATGGGGGAAGCATCCTCTCGGGAGTCTCTGCTACAAAGTAACAGTTCTGGGCACGAGACTTTCTGAATGGTACTTCCTCTTTACAAATGGAATACGAGGAAGACGGGGATGATTCAACCTTGTGTATGCGGCATGGTGGGATATGTGGAGGAAACTAGACATATGCTCAGCTGCGCAGTGTCCCTATAACCACACCCGATCATGGGTCTGATGATGATGATGATGATTGAGGTAAAGCATGAGATCCCTAGTAACCCCTGTTTACAATACGTTACAAAAATTGCCCAGTAACACATGAGAGTATTATCAATTTAAAGAAATTATAAACATTATGTTTCTGAGATGAGGTATTGTAATTATTTACACTATTTACATTGTTCGGACTGTTGTCCTCATCGTCGTTGCCATATTCACGACGTTTCGGCCGTTGCACGCTCGGCCTTCTTCAGGATCTGTCTATGTTTCTAACATGAGGCATTGTTATTATTTGCACTGTTTAGATTTTTCGGACTGTTGTCCTCGTCTTCGTTGTCATATTCACGACGTTTCGGGCGTTGTACATCGCAGTCTTCTTCAGGATCTGTTGATATTTCTGAGATGAGGTATTTTAATTATTTACACTACTTACATTGTTCTATCTGTTTTCCTAATCTTCGTTGCCATATTCACGACGTTTCGGCCGTTGTGCGGTCCGGCATTTTTCAGGAGCTGTGTATATTTCTGAGATGAGATATTGTAATTATTTACCCTATTTACATTGTTCGGACTGTTGTCCTCATCTTCGTTGCCATATTCACGACGTTTCGGCATATATTGAAATAATACGTAGTTATACCGCGCTATGGAAAATAAATAATAACTACTTTTAACTCGTGAAAATTTCTCGGTTTTCCTACATGGAATTTCCGATGAATCTTAATTCTTCAGTTAATGATTGAATAAGCTGATGGCGAGTTCTACGACAATAAAATATCGCTTCGTTAAAATATTAGAGCTTAACAACAAAATATTGCAATAACAATCATGAATATGAATACTAGTCGTTATTTTAAGAAGTAAGGGAGTACAAATGAAAAAATCTGAAATTGACAGCTTTATCTCCATTTCACTGAAACAGACGTTAAACTCTTCCATCTTTCTTTCATTTTCTCACTGAAGTCAAGTAGTGAAGTCGAGAAAACTGAATAAAGAAAATATGCCCTCCAACAGGTTTCGAACCCGCGTTTTCCTTTATTGTAGAACCAACCATCTCATCTGGCGTGCTGTATAGCACCCAGACGATGGTTTTACGCGGAAAGTGGGGCGCAGGTTCGAACCCTACTGGAGGGTGTATTTTCTTTATAAAGTTTTCCGGAGTGCGCAAGCCGGTAGGCATATTGTAAAATACGTCTGTCTGTCTGTCTATCTATCTATCTATCTTTCATTCTTTGTTTTTTTTCACTAAAATCTTGTATGTATTTTTTCTTTTCACGTGATAAACGCAAAAGTCCAGATAGATAATGAATAGAATGAGATAGATATCTAGATAGATAGATAATGATTAGACTGTGATAGATAGATAGATAGATAATGAAAAGACTGAGATAGATAGATAGATAGATAGATAGATAGATAATGAACAGACTGAGATAAATATCTAGATAGATTGATAATGAATAGACTAAGATAGATAGATAGATTGATAGATAGATAATGAACAGACTGAGATAGATAGATAGATAGATAGATAGATAGATAATGAACAGACTCAGATAAATATCTAGATAGATTGATAATGAATAGACTAAGATAGATAGATAGATTGATAGATAGATAATGAACAGACTGAGATAGATAGATAGATAGATAGATAGATAATGAACAGACTCAGATAAATATCTAGATAGATTGATAATGAATAGACTAAGATAGATAGATATATTGATAGATAGATAATGAAGACTGAGATAGATAGATAGATAGATAGATAATGAACAGACTCAGATAAATATCTAGATAGATTGATAATGAATAGACTAAGATAGATATATTGATAGATAGATCCAGAAGATAGATGAGATAGATAGATAGATAGATAGATAATGAACAGACTCAGATAAATATCTAGATAGACTAAGATAGATGATAAATAGATAATGAAAAGACTATAGATAGATAGGATATATGATAGATAGATAGATGAAGACTGAGATAGATAGATAGATAGATAGATAATGAACAGACTCAGATAAATATCTAGATAGATTGATAATGAATAGACTAAGATAGATATATTGATAGATAGATAATGAAGACTGAGATAGATAGATAGATAGATAGATAGATAGATAGATAGATAGATAATGAACAGACTCAGATAAATATCTAGATAGATTGATAATGAATAGACTAAGATAGATAGATAGATTGATAGATAATGAAAAGACTGAGATAGATAGATAGATAGATAGATAGATAGATAGATAGATAATGAATAGATCTGAACAAATATGAGATAGATTAGATAGAATAGATAGATAGATAGATAGATTGATAGATAGAAAAATGAAATAGATCAGATAAATATCTAGATAGATTGATAATGAATAGATAAGAACAGATAGATAGATTGATAGATAGATAATGAAAGACTGAGATAGATAAATATAGATAGATTGATAATGAACAGACTAAGATAAATATCTAGATAGATTGATAATGAATCAAGACTGAGATAGATAGATAATTGATAAGACAGAATAGATAAAAAAGATTGAGATAGATAAAGATAGATAGATAGATAGATAGATAATGAAAAGACTGAGATAGATAGATAGATAGATAGATAAATAGATAGATAGATAGATAGATAAATAGATAGATAATGAACAGACTGAGATAGATAAACAGACTTAGATAAACAGGCTCTGATAGATATTAATTGCGTGAAATAGATAGATAGATAATGGACAATAGCTAGCTAGACAGATAATAAACAGACTGGGATAGATAGATAGATAGATAGATAGATAGATAGATAGATAAAAAACGGAATGGTGATCAAAACGGAATAGTACATTATTTATGAGGTATTGGTAGGGCGTAACGGACGTGCGAACTACCAAAGTGCGGTTCAAGCACAATTATTATATAATAATAATAATAATAATAATAATAATAATAATAATGTCTGACATTTTTTGCTGACATTAACTCTTTACTCATTTTCTACTTACCCAGGAACCGTTTAGTAGGAATCACTCTCGACATTTGCGAGAGGCTGAGATGAACTTCTCGCCCCGACCCTGCTAAACAGACTGATTCTTTCGGACAGAGATTAGATGGCTTAGTCGTTTGCATTTTTCTCATGAACAGGCCTTACTTCATCCGAACGGAAAAGCGGAAGCCGAGAGAAACAGGTAATTTTAAAACACCCGTCATATTTTCGAAGAGAGAAGCCTACAAGTCTCGGTCATCTGGCTGTCAAAGATGGAGTTGTTATTCGTCGAAGAACGGACTTCCGTTTTAGAAGGCAACATCCGGTTTGCTGACTCAGCAAGTACTCAATGGCTTTAACGGGACTAATTTCTCAATCATCTTATTTATTCGTATAAAGGTCGAATTTTTTCCCAAGTGTCTTCTTAGGGTTAAGGCTTTTAAACGGTTGGTACTAGAGAGTTTACAATAAGTTGAAATCTATCTATCTATCTATCGCGGTTTGGTCATGACTATCTATCTATCTATCTATCTATCTATCTATCTATCTATCTATCTATCTATCTATCGCAGATTCTTCAAATGTATGTATGTATGTATGTATGTATGTATGTATCTCAGTTTGGTCATATCTATCTATCTATCTATCTATCTATCTATCTATCTATCTATCTATCGCAGTTTGGTCATATCTATCTATCGCAGATTCTTCATATCTATCTATCTATCTATCTATCTATCTATCTCAATTTGGTCATATCTATCTATCTATCTATCCATCTATCTATGATTCACAGTTTGTTCACATCTATCTATCTATCTATCTATCTATCTATCTATCTATCTATCTATCTCTCTATCTATCTCTATATATATATAAGAAAAAACGTTATCTCTACATACTTGTCATCTCGTAAAATTTGACACGTCAATGTCATTAATTTTTATGGATTTGTTAAAAAACAAAGTAAACTGCTCATCTGTGAAATTGTCTATTGTTTCTCGTTTTGCGCCAGAAAATTCATTCATCACTTGAAATCCGTCCAACATGAATTAATAAATGTCATTTTCTTGCAATTTTTTCAAATTACTTTGAGGATTTACAAAGATTTTATTGATTCGCTTTTTTACGGTTTATCAACCCTTTGAGGGTTATTTAAAGCCAGACGATATTTTTAGATTGTAAGAATCTTTCTTCGTGGAGAGAAAACGATTTAGTGATACCTTTTTGTGGAGAGAAGAAGTGAATTCATAGCTTACCAAAGGCTATTTGCCCAGAAGTGAAGATAACGAACCCACATGGAATTGGAATTTGGTTCCGTATCTATCGGTTCTGCACACTCGTGAAAACTAAATAAATAAAATTTGCCCTCCGACAGGTTTCGAACCCGCGTTTCGCTTTGTAAAAGAACCAACCGTCTCATCTGGTGTGCTTTAGAGCACTCAGACGATGGTTTTGCGCGGTAAGTGAGGCGCAGGTTCGAACCCTACTGGAGGGCATATTTTCTTTATAAAGTTTTCTGAAGTGCGCAAGCTGGTAGATACACTGTTAAAAAAATCTTAAAACAAAACAAAACAAAACAAAAAACAAAACAAAAAAACAAAAACAAACATGTACCCAAAGAGGCTTATCAATAAAAAAATAATATTTGAAGTAATAGATATTTTTAATTTTGACCATATATCCTCCCACCCCTCTTTCTATCCCTTTACATCAACTTAAAACTGCCCCTCAAAAGTGTATAAAAACAATACGTAAATTTAAAACCCTTTTTTATGCTTGTAAATGTGATCTGAGGAACCAGGAAAAAAAACACCTTCCTGGGGAAATAAAATATAATCAATGGAACTTTAAGATTGTCTAGTTTCTATTATATATATATATATATATATATATATATATGTGTGTGTGTGTGTGTGTGTTTTGTGTGTATATATATATATATATATATATATATATATATATATATATATATATATATATATATGTGTGTGTGTGTGTGTGTGTTTGTGTCGTAAATATATATATATATATATATATATATATATATATATATATATATATATATAGTATATGTTTATTCACTACAAAAGATGCAACTTGTTTATATATATATATATATGTATAATATTAGCGGTAAATATACAAATACATATGCTAAAATATATAAAATATATATGCATACATACACATACATATATATTTTGTACAAAAAATTCCAAGAGGATAGAATCCAGGTAGAACTAACAGACAATAAATGTCCAGAACAGAAGCTTTAAGGAAATATATATATATATATATATATATATATATATATAAAAAAGTTATATTCGTTTAAACACTAATATTCCATGGTCATAATTTATTCCATTCAGAGGAATCATAAATACTAAATATGATCCAAGGTTTCATCAGACCTTTATATATATATATATATATATATATATATATATATATATATATATATATATATATATATATATATATATATATATGTATGTATATATATATATATATATATATATATAAACATATTTATTTATTATAATTTCATTATATAGACTTTTTAAGAAAACCATTTTATTCAACATATACTTAATATTATATATAAAGATATATAACTTGGTTTCAGTGTGTGCATTTCAACTGCACATGAATTGACGGGTGAGAATAGCAAAACGGTTATGAACAAGCCTGCGTATATTGTAGGCTATTAGACCGAAACGTCCGATGTGAAACGTCACTTCGGATTTTCAATCTATATCAATATATGTATTGTTTATTTTAACTGCTTTAAACTAGACATTTTAATGATTTGTCTCGGAAAGCAGTAATTCGACCTTGCTAACCAGAGGCTTCTTCTGTAGCTAAATGGTATAGCATGTCAGGCTAGATGACGGTTCCGTGTAGGATGCAGGTTTCTCTCGAAGGACACATATTTTCTATGAAATTTCTCGGATATTCTGGCCAGTAAATGTTGTTGATACTGTTTATTATAAACAGAGCATTTACTTAAATATTTGTGTCTCTATAAATAACGTACAACACTAAAATATATTAAAATAATTGTCGGGCTTAGTCCATTTCATAATATATATATATATGTGTGTGTGTGTGTGTGTGTCAGCATTATCTATATCTATAAATCTACTCTCTCTTCCCCTGTAATTATTCTGGTGTATATTTTACTTTTCATACTATGTTTTCAGAGTATGCTAGTAAAATATAACTTTTCCCGGGCATCGGAGCTGTGTCCCGTCTTGATTGCCACAGTTAGCATCTTCGTGCGTGAATGAAATTCTATCGAAGAATCAAGAAAATGTCCACAGCAGGAGGCAGATGAAACAGCGAAGGGTAATATATGAACAGAAAAGCGAGCTATAAAAACAAACTCTTCCTTCTTTAAAAAAACACAAAAACAAAAAGAAAACGCATCCGGTCAAGGACTAAAAATGAATAAATATATAAGGAAAAGGAAGAATTATTCCCTTCTCTACCATTCAGAACGCGATTCTCTTCCATGTGACTGGAATCTTTTGAATGGCTCCCTTTCTACATGTAAATTAGGCGGCCATTTTGAAAGCGCGAATCGTCTAAGGCCCCCTTTCGTCTTTCTAAAACACAGTCACGCTTATGGATTTTATTGCAACATTAAGAACAAACATAGGTGAACGCTGGGCCATATTGTAATTTATTGGACCTGTAAAAGCGACTTTTTCCAATTATATTTCCCTAAAACGTGCCTGCTTTGTGGCTGAGATAGTAGCTAGATTTATTCTGGTATCAGAGATATGCATTCACTCCAGGGTAAATCCAGAATATCCAACACTGAATTTTATGTAGGTAGTTAACCATGTACTTTAAAGATTGGTCTAACAACATCGTTCAACGCACTATTAGGCTTTGGGTAGTTTTAAGTCTCAAGGTCATGGAAAGTTGGACGCAGAGGTCAGATTTTGGGACGTTGGGCTGTATCAGTGCTCAGGGTCATTGAAAGTTGGACTCGAACACACTTTTGGGCTGTATTAAGACTCTTTAAAAGTTGGACGCAGAGAGCTCAACTTTTTGGCTTTGAGGTGTAGTAAGGTAAAGGGTCACCGTAACTTGGACACAAAGAGCACCCCTTTGAGCATTGGGCTTTATTAAGTTTCAGGTTCATTGAAAGCGGGATAAGTGAAAATTTAAGGTTTAGTGAAAGTTTAACGCAGAATACATTCTTTTGGGCTTTGTCCTATGTTAAAGTTCAGGGTTCTTTAAAGTTGGACACAGAGGGCAGATTGGGCTGTATCAGTGCTTAGGGTCATTGTTAAAACTCAAGGTCTTTGAAAGTTGGACGCAGAGGTCAGATTTTGAGACGTTGGGCTGTATCAATGCCTAGAGAAAGTTGGACGCAGAGAGCTCAGTTTTTTTTTTGGTTTTGGTCTGTCTTAAGGCAAAGGGTCACTGTAGCTTGGGCACAAAGAGCATCTCTTTGAGCTTTGGGCTTTATTAAGTTTCAGATTCATTGAAAACGTGATGAGCGAAAATTTAAGGCTGAGCGAAGGTTGAACGCAGAATCTACACTTTTGGGCTTTGTCTGTGCTCGGGGTCATTGAAATTTGGATTCAAAGAACGCACTTTTGGGCTATATTAAGATTCATTGTCTTTAAAAGTTGGACGCAGTATTAAGGCACAAGGCCATTAAAAGTTGGACGCAGAGAGCACACCTTTGGGATTTGGGTTTTATTAAGGCAAAGTTTCCTTGTAAGTTGGATGCTTTGGTCTGTATTAAGTTTCAAGATCATTGAATGTTGAATGAGTAAAAGTTTCAGGGTTAGTGAAAGTTGAACGCAGAAAGCACACTTTTGGGCTTTGTCCTATATTAAGGCTCAGAGTACTTCAAAGTTGGACACAGAGGGCAGATTTCGGGGATTTGTGCTGTATCAGTGCTCAGGGTCATTGAAAGTTGGACGCAACGCACACACTTTGGGGCTGTGTTAAAGCACAAGGACTTTGAAATTTGGACGCAGAGGTAAGATTTTGGGGCGTTGGGCTCAAGGAAAGTTGGACATAGAGAGCTCAATTTTTTGGGCTTTGGGTTGTATTAAGGCAAAGGGTCATATTTGTAACTTGGGCACAAAATGCACCCTTTTCAGCTTTGGACTGTATTAAGTTTCAGGTTCATTGAAAGTGGGACGAGTTAAAATTTAAGGCTTAGCGAAGGTTGAACGCAGAATGCACACTTTGGGGCTTTGTCCTTTATTAAGGCCCAGGGTCTTTAAAAGTTTGAAACAGAGGACACACACAGTAGCTTTGGGTAGTATAGTTGGACGCAGACGGCAAATTTCAGGGTCTTGGACTGTATCATTGCTCAGGGTCATTGAAAGTTGGACGCAAAGCACACACGTTGGAGCTGTGTTAAAACTCAAGAACTTTGAAAGTTGGAAGCAAAGGGGTGAAGCACGGTTTTGGATTTAAAACTCAGGTTCAATTTAAGTTGGAGGCAGAGAATTCATTCTTCATCTTTGTTATTAAGGTTCAGGCTCATTGAGAGTGGGACAGGTGAAGGATACAGGGTCAGCGAAGTTTGGAAACAGGGGGCACAATTTTGGTCTGTAATAAGGACCAGAGTCATTGTACAGTATCTAAATCTTCGTATAAGCCTTTTTTTTACGGTATGTGGATTTTATAACCATTTGAGTAGCTTTGTACAAAAAAATGAAGACCATTTATTTGCTAAAAAAACTTGTTCAGGATGATGCCCAGCGCTGCAATATTTGACTACAGTAGGCCCACTAGGATTGCTCAGAAGCTGGGGTCGCATTATACACGACCTCCAAAAAATATTCTGGGGATCGAACTATGAAGTAGACTTATACACGAGTATATACGGTGTAGTGTTAATACAAAAAAAATAATGAAGACCATTTATTTGCT